GTGTGTGTGTTGAGGGGGGAGGGGAACTAAGGCTAAGATAGCTGTGCGTTTTACTATATATAATTATACCTTAATAAATAAATAAACAAGCAACAACACATACTGCACAGCTATCTTAGCCTTAGTTCCCCTCCCCCCTCAACACACACACACACACACACGCACGCACACACACACACACACACACACACACACACACACACACACACTAACCAGAGAGCCAGAGACAAAGGTTTATTTATTTGAGAAGTAATTCCAGTTAGCAGGAGTGAGGGGTATGGGGAGTGGAACACGGGAGGTGGGAAAATCAATATGAGACGCGTCATCAATTTGGTGCTGCCCGTGGTGACTGGAGCTTGATTTCACCAGGACCTTCTCAGGAGCCTTATGAAATGTATCTCAGAACTGTCTGCCTGGAAGGACAGAGGTGAAGCATTTTTCCATTGGCTCCTGCCCCCATGGTCCAAGTTGACTTTTTGGCATTAACTCCCTGGTACTGAAATGGAGCAGGACCCTAGGGTCCTTGCCTCCCATGTCCTCAGCCTGCCTTTTGTCTGTGGAAAAGCTTTGGCCGAAGAATAAGTTTAATCAGAGAAATGAGAAATTACAGAGGCAAAGGAAAACAGTCCAGCAAGACTAAATGATAATAGTTTAGTCACTAAGCAAACTCAAGGACCTTTAGTTCCTCCTCAAGGGCTGTAGATAATATTCTGAGCCATATCCTCTGAGCTGTCTTATAGATACTGAAAGCCCCACCAGGTGGAAGAAGTTAACTACATGATGACCAGGCTGTAGCCACGACACGGCTACATGACATGACAGCCAAGCTGCCACAATTCTGAGAACTGGCCTCAAGGAAATGGGAACAAACCGACCCTGGAACTGAAGATTAACTGTACTTAAAACAGTCAAGATGATGCTGGTCAGACCACCGATGAACAATTTCAAGATGCCTGTCAGAGCTGCCTGTGCTGTTTCTACATGTAGCCCCCTCCCTCCATCTATAAAAGCTCTTGCCCACTGATTGTCGGTTGGGGGGAGTTGGCCCTCCCCCATCCCAGTTGCTGGCCTTTGAAGTAAAGCAAACTTTCCGTTCCACCAGGCTTGCCTCTTCATTGGCTTTTGAGCGGTGAGCAGCCGGACCCCACTTTCAGTTACAGTACTTTTGGGTTGTTCCCAGCTGTGATAGCCAGCTCCGAGACGGCCCCCAATGATTCTCGCGCGTGCATTCACGGCTCTGTGTGGGGTCAGCGCCCTCTAGCACTTGTGGACACAGCACCATGTACTGGCCATCCATCTGGTGCATCCACCACATCCTGGAGGACAGCACACTTGTGCCGCAGGATGTTAACTCCTTCTTAGGTGCCTTCGATAAGCCTCTAACGAGCCATCCTACTGTTCTCTGAGTCCAGATGCTTCCAGATGATGGAGTATCTGGTGAGACCAGTGGATCTGATAGTGGTCGCCTGTACATTATCACATCTCCTTTGCCTCTGGGGGTTGGGAGTGGGGATTGATTGGGACAGAAGGGAACCTTCTGGGGGGATAGTAGTAACGCTCTATATAGTGATAGAGGTTTGGGTTACAGTGTATGAATTTGTCAAAACACAGCGAATATGCACTTCAGATCTGGGCATTTCATTGTGTGTAAATTTTACCTAAAATTTAAATTATTTACCTAAATTACATAAATTACCTAAAATTTAAAGTAAAAACTATAAATAAATAGCTCTAGCTAATGATAGGTGTGCTGACTTTAGGGGAAGTGTACAGATGACAGCAATTTACTTTGAAATGCATCAAAAATAAGGTGCGTGGATAGATGGATGTGGGGAAGGACAGATAAAGCAAGAGTAATAAAATGTTAGTGGTAAAACTAGGTGATAGATATATGTGTTCACTGTTTAATTTTCTCAACTTCGCTGTATATTTCAGAACATTCATAACAAAATGTTGGAAAAAAGAGTGGGAAATAGCTAGTGGTGAGAACCCAGTGGGTTCACTTGCATCTAGTGAGTTCATCACAGTGACCCAAGGAGCAGAACAAATTGGGGATGGATTTGAGCTGGTTCTGATCTCCTCGAGGGTTTGATATGTAGGTGAGTCAGGGCTGCAGGGAGCCCATAACTGGGAGGAAGACTTTTTAATCTTGCCAAAAAATATTTTTTTGCAGCAACATAAATAGCCTAAATTATGTCCACTTGGGGGTAAGGTGTTTTAACCTGCTCTTTGGGGAGGCCATGTAATGAATGAAAAACACTGGTCTGGACTCAAACAAATCCAATTTTTAGCTTCAGCTCTATTACTTATGAGCTAGGCCGCCTCAGGCAAGTCACTGGACGTTGCTGTTTCAGTCTCAGTCTCTCCATGTATACTGGGGGGCAGAGTCATGCCCACCTCGGAGGTAAGGTTGAATCCTGTCTTTAAGACAGTTTGTGCCTGGTACAAGTATGTTCTCAATAAATAGTAGTTTTTATTCCTCTACATAGGTAAGTAGAGACACTTGCCCAGAAATATTTGATTCTGTCTGGAACACAACTCAGAAGGATAATAAGCGTAGGGTTTTGAACCGAGAAGACATCTCATCAAGTACCATATTTCTGACATGTGGTTATTCAAAGATCCTCTACATCCACTGTTTCTCAGCTTCTTTGATTCTCAGTGGAGCTTGAAAAGAAAATCCACCCCATCTCACCACGTTTTACAGCATGTCAGTGTCACCATATTATTCGCTATGTTTCTTCTCCCGTCTTTCTTTCAAAACAGCAGTCACAGGACGAGTAGCCTGTACATGTGTCATAAATTCTTTCTCCCTCCTGTCGATTTCTTGGCAAGCGTCTGATTCCATTATGACATGGAGAATCAACTTCGGGCCGCAGGAGGCTCACTGAGTTGCTGTAATGCCGGGGCATTTATTCATCATCCTCTCCCATGCTGCTTCCAGCCTTGTCACTCAGCGCAACAAATACTTAATGGATCCCAACTCCTGCGAGGCTTCGCATTCCACAACCAGGAGACTCTGCAGTGGGTCTGCTCTTTCCCGCTTTCGTGAAAAAAACTGGCAGAGGGATAATCGGAAAGTTTTATTCACCCATCTCCTTCTTCTCATCCGGAAGGGCTTCCAGACACACATGACTTATTTATATTCTCACTCTGAGAGAAGCTTGCTCCACGAATGCCTGCTGGGTGATTGAAATGACGGTCTTCAGAATTTTTCCACTTCCTGTCATTACGTGTTCTGTTGTCAACAGTGGCATTCCTGAAGGATATACTGCTCTTGCGAGCACTTGCTGAGGTTTTCCAAGGGTTGCAGGAGCCATTTTGACTTTGTTTACCGTGGCTGTCTCTTCTGGTTACTCAACATGGTGATGTGCTAGATGGTACCCAGCGGTGCTCAGGAAGAGCCCTTGTGGACAGAGAATGATGGAAACATTGTGATAGGGAAGAACCTTTGTATTCTATTACAAGTTCATCACTAAAGGGATGTTGCCTATAAGCTTAAATTATACATAATGGCCCACCTCTGGGAACCCTGCCTCCCAGGTAATGAGCATTAAGCTAAAATACCTCTGTTTAGCTCACAAGAAACACGCTGACCAAGCCCACCTGTGAATGACTGCAAGAAGGAAGAAATGAACACATCCCCTCCAGAGGCTGACCGGAACCAGGAAATGTTTGACTTTCCTCCCTCCTCTTTTAGTATAAAAGAAGCCTGAATTCTAACTCAGGCAAGATGGTTCTTTGGGACACGAGTCCACGGTCTGCTGGCTTTCTGGATAAAGTTGCTACTCCTTTGCCCCAACAATTTGTCTCTCAAGTTATTGGCCGGTGTGTAGTGAGCAGCACGTTTGGACTCGGTAACAACAGCTTTCTGCGCACTTTTCTCCATGGTTTTTCTATTCTTTTTTTCTTTATTGCAGCTATGACGGTTTGCCAGAGACAGAGGTCAGTGTAGCAGAGGGATGAGCACACAGGCTCTTGAGTGAGACAGCCCTGAGTTCAAATCCTGGATCCCCAACTGTAGTCGAGAAGATCTTTGCTTCTCATTCTTTACTCACGCCCAGTATCAGAATTAGAAATTGTCGCCCTTTTGGCATGTGACTTTGCAGCCCCTCCCGCTAGAGTGGGCAGAGTACGTGGGATGTGGAGGCCTGGTCCAGCCGAGGGCTTCAGAGGTGCCGTCTGTCCTGCCTACGTGTCCTCCATCTACCCTGAGAAGAATATGCCCTGGGAGACTGTCGCATCCCAGAACGATGCAGATGGACCCCACCTGAACCCATCCTGCAGCCTGGAGATAATCCCAGCCAACCCAGAGAACTGTGAGTAAGAAAAACAAATGCTGGGGACTTCCCTGGCAGTCCAGCGGTTAGGACTCGGTGCTCTCACTGCCAGGGGCCCTGGTCGGGGAACTAAGATCCCACAAGCCTTGCAACATGGCCAAAAACTAAAAGAAAAAGAAAAAGAAATGTTAGCAGGGTTGGTTCACTTTTCTTTACAGTACCAGAGAGTAAATAGTTCGGGGTTTGCAGGCCATCAGTCTCTCATGCAGCTCCCCAATCCTGCCATCGTGGTATGGGAGCAACCACAGACAATGTGTAAACAAATGAGTGAGGCGGGTCTAATAAAACTTTATTTATGGACACTGCAATTTAAATGTCATATAATTCTCTCATGTCACAAAGTATTCCTCTTCTGGGTTTTTGGGTTTTTTTAAACCGTTTAAAAGTGTGAAAGCGATTCTTAGCTGTGGGCCATAGAAAGACAGGTGTTGGGCTAGATTTGGCCCACTGGCTGCGGTTTGATTCCCCTCCCCGCCAATTTTCAATTTTTTCATCATCAGATGGAGGTCACAATAGAATACTTCCCTCTGGGGAAATGAAGTGATGTATAGGGATGGCTTTGATGATAAGCGTTTAATCTGTTGTGGTTAATCATGATTAACTATGAGGAATCGTTATGATTTATTCTACAGTTCCGTCATCCTAGTAGAGGGCGGGGAGAAGTGCTCTTCCTTTCGACCCAAACCAAGAGACGGAGTCATTCCCTTGCAAGCAAATCGAACACGTGGGGCTCCGAGGGGATGGCTCTTAGGGCTGGGGATCCTTAGAAGCAGAGGCCGCAGGCAGCTCACTCCCAGGTGGGCTTCTGCAGATCTGCAATCTTCTCTGCTCTCGGAACAGACTGCGGCACAGAGGAGGTGTGCCCAGGGGAGCTTGGCCTGGGTCCTCTGGAGTATCACGTGTAAAAAACATAGAAACAGATGTCTGCTTCCACCTAGAATATTCTGAGGGCAGGAATGTGGCCGGAGCAGCTGGTGGAGGCTGGGCAAGTAGGGACTAGGACGCAGTTGCAAAGGAAGAAAGGATATGGGGTCCCCCAACCCATATCTTCACAGTTCTTAGAAGGCGTTGTAGAGGCCCTCATTGCCTCCTATGGTTCCATGCCAATGACAGTGAAGAGGCGGGAGTCGTAGACCGCCCAGGCTGCCCTCAAGTGGACCACTGGGGAAGGGCCTGGGGTGATACATGGGCGTTCCTTTCAGAGGGCGTCCTCAGCCATGGAGATGATGTCCAGCGTGAGCCTGAACAGCCCCCTAGAAAACTCGGGGAGTGATGGTCTCCGTGGAGACCCCCTTGAAAGCAGAAACTACCTGGGGCAGATGGACTAGACCAAGTCGGAGTAGATGGGCACGGAGTCCCTTCCACTCCTGTCTCAGAGCCACGGCTGGGCTGGGCTGGGAGACTGGGGCCCGAAAGCTTTGAACTGGATGTGAGGCATTGATTTAAAGCCAGCAGGATTTGTAATGACTGAAAGTGATCAAGAAACAGTGGGGTCTGCCTGCCTATCGGTAGGAGAAGGAAAGCAGAATTTGACAGAGTGCGGCTAACAGGATTGATTAGAGAAAGTGTAAAACCAGTTTGTTTAGACCCCCGAGTCTGAGACCGCTCAGTGAACCAGCTACACAATTGGTTACAATCTTCATATTTTCCCTTCACCCCAGCTCCCCAGCTCCCCTGCCTTTGGCGTAATGTTACAAGCCAGTTATACCTTTTTGCCAGAGGAGGGAAGGAAAAAGAAAGAACGGAGAGAGAGAAAGAAAGAAAAGCACCGTTGGAGGGCTATGTGCAAGGACACACTGAGGCCCAGGGCGCACCATTTATCATGGGAACTCCCCTGAGTTAGATGGAACCTCGGTTCCCTTTCCGCTCTAGTGATTCGACTTCAGACCATGGTCCACGTGGCTTATAAAACCATGGAAACACAGCTAAAAAGAGAGTTTACACTTCTGAGCTCAAATGAACCAAATGTTTGCTTCCTTTTTGGGTCTCTTCCCTGCTTTTCCCCTTCAAAGTTCCCAGTTTGAACTTTATCTTCTCTACCAGCATGGTTTAAAGACTCATTTCCTGAGGTACAACCCTTAACTAATGGAGATCTGAGGTTCCCCCCAGCCTGAATGAAACGCAAATTAAGTCACAAAAAATAAAGACATATTCTTTATGTCTTAATATGATGGTATATTCTTTGTATGTCTTTTTTTCTTTTATTTTTTTTGCGGTACATGGGCCTCTCACTGTTGTGGCCTCTCCTGTGCGGAGCACAGGCTCTGGACACGCAGGCTCAGCGGCCATGGCTCACAGGCCCAGCTGCTCCGCGGCATGTGGGATCTTCCCGGACCGGGGCACAAACCTGTGTCCCCTGCATCGGCAGGCGGACTCTCAACCACGGCGCCACCAGGGAAGCCCAATGCTTTCATTTTTTACGTTGATGTCTCTGATCCAAATTGGATTAATCTGTGTGTAAGGAGGGAGGTGAGAGGCATGCTTTTAAAACAAATGCGTGTTCCCCTGAATCATGTGATGCCGCAGTTCCCAGCTTCCCGCCTCCATTTCACACGTGACAGGTAATGTTCACTTGGGTGATCCCCAACCCCGTGAGCCTGTGCAGGGCTGAGCAGGTGGCTGGAGACTCAGGGGAGTGGACGGGACACAGACACGGAGGGAGGGCCCTTCTCACAAAGACAGTGGAGGAGGTAGGAGAGGGAGGCATTTTCCAAGGAAAGTAGCAGAAAGAGAAAAGCAGGTGCTGAGAACTGAACTCAGGGGCACTGCCTGGGCTGGGAAGTGCGAACAGGAAAGATCACTCTCAGGGTAACAGGCTGGTTGGAGGGTTAAGGGAAGAATGGAGTAGGTTAATGTAGCAGCAGTCTGGCCAAATATCACACAGAAGGACAGCCCAACAGCTAGAATTGCTTCTGCTGCATCCAGGATCTCATCAACATTTTGGGGGTAGCTGGTTGCAGAAGCAGGAGCGTGGGCTTTGGGGTTTGACGTCCTGCCTCAGTCCTAGACTAGCTGAGCGACCTTGACCAGGTTAACTACCCTCCCTCAAAAGCCTCCACTTCCTCCTTTATGAACTAGAAACAATTCCTGTCTCTGGGGCTGTTCTGAGGGTTAGGTGGGAACATCTGTAAAGCTCGAAACACAGTGCTTTGTGCCTGGGAGAGACTAATACCTTCATTATTTTTTCTTCCCCTCCCTCTTCTTTTGATTCCACAAGAGGGAAGCAGTGGCTGAGGACCCAGCTACACACATTTCTTCAGGTGAAAAATGTTTAAAGGCCTTCCGGGTGGTTGCTTTTGGGGTTGGAGATAGTGGTGAAATTGGCGGGGGTGGGTGCTTTGGCCTGTAAAGCAGGATTTCTTTATAACGTCCACTCTGGAGGGGAACAGAGCCCCAGCAATACACCTGCACCTCCTTTCTCAGGTTCCACATGTCTGTAGCTGGTATTTATTGTCTGCAGCTTCCAGATGGCCTGTGACAGGAGGGAACAACGATGGGGGGTCCCACATGGACCCATCTCTCAACTGTAAAATAGAAACACACCAGCGAAGCCGACTTGAAAAGGTTTACGAAGGAACCAGGCTTACTGGAGCATCTCCTCAGCTCTCAAGTGGTACCCAGCGGTAAGATGTGGATCTGAGTCCCCACCACCAGCAGGTCAGTTTCCCACAGGTGTCCAAGTGGCAGGTCTTGAAATCATCTTGTAGCTGCGAGAACCCAAGTCACCTCCTCTTCCATGTCGTTTTGTGATTACTGCTTGAGAGAGACAAAAGAGAGAGACTGACAGATGGGAGTGTGGGGACGAGAGAGACAGAGAAAGAGAGAGAGAGAGAATGCACTAAGGAAGGACTCTCAAGACAATTAAAGAATTCCAAGTCCAATTTTTGTCTCTAGGGGTTCTCATTTTGCAAGCTGCCACAAGGATGTGGGTGTTCACGTGCAAACACAATTCTCCATAATCCTGCAGCACCTGGGCCCAGTGACAGACTGAGTCTGGGGGACATGTCACCCATTTGTTCTTCTGACCAGGCTCCTGCCATGCACCATCTATCAGTCATGGATGGAGGGAGCAGAACGTTTCCATGCTCCCCAGATGCACCGTCTCTCTCCACCTGCTGGAGATGCCTTTGTAGACAGGATGCAGTGGCACTGGCCCCAGGTGGGCCCCTTTGCCTCCTCTGATCCTTTTTTTTTTGCTTTCTGGTCACACCGCGCGGCATGTGGGATCTTAGTTCCCCGACCAGGGATCGAACCCGTGCCCCCCTGCAGTGGAAGCACAGAGTCTTATCCACTGGACCGCCAGGGAAGTCCCAGCCTCCTCTGTCCCTTTGCCTTGGGTGGTCTCCGAGGTCCCCGGAGCTCAGGCCATCCTGAGGCTGATTGCCTTAGAATGATCTCCCAGTGACACCCATCAAGTTGTTCTGGAAATCTCCTTTACTCCGGTTTGGGGGGCAGAGATGGAAAGAAAGGACGGGAACTTGAGCTTCCGGGCCCTCCAGTTCTGTGATTCAAGGGCTCAAAGGAAAAGGAGCTTCCTAAGCGGAGTGGTCAGGCTGCCTTTGCAGTTATGTGGGTGATGGGGCGATGAAAACACAGGTGCAGCCCTGGCACTGAAGAGGCAACGGTGCCTGAGGAGGGAGTTGGCCGCGCGGGGGCGCTTGTGGGCCAAGTACACTTGGGACCCTCAGCTCCCCCCGCCCCTTCCCTCTTGGCACCTCGCCTCTGTGCCTCCCGCCTGCTTCCTGCCAAACCTTGTTGGTCCCCCCACCAGCTCCCCACAATGGCCGTGACAGCTTGTGCTGGGGCCACGTGGTGGGATGGAAGGGGGTTTATCTGTCCTAAACACTCGTGCCGCTGGCATGTTTTATGGGATTCCAAAAGCGTGGCGAGTGGAGGGAAATTCTTCCCTCCGGAGAGAGAGAAAAAGAAAATGAGGAATGAGAGAGATGAAAAGGCTTTTTTTCTTCCCCAAATTGGAGCCACCCTTCAGATGAAAATAATGCATCTTGTGCCCCTGCCTGTGGGGCGCGGTGTTTTCTGCAGACTGAAAAAAAACCCAGAATGTGGAACAAAAGCTGGTCTCTGAGACCATTAGCCCCTTGTTTAAAGTGTTTAATTTCAAGCCTTCGACACTTTTTTTTTTTTTAATGAATCCGTGAGGCAACTGTGGGGAGGAAACAAGAAGCTGCCAGGTAGTGCTGTGTCTTGCTTGCTGGTCCAACTGTTCCATCTTTTGTTAAAGCCATAAATGCAGTTTTCCAAGCCACTTGGCTTCTCGGATGCTGTATATTTAATTTGCCTGGAACATTCCACAGACTGCGCGCTTTTCAACAGCATCTCATTAGAGCCTTGTGTGACTGCCCATCTCTTCACGGGCAGTGCAGTGCTCAGCTTAACGGGCAGCCTTCCTGGCGGACTTTCGTCAGAGAAAATGCGTGACTTGGGCTCATCGGTTGACTTGTGTCCCCTCCAAATTCATATGTTGAAGTCCTAACCCCTAGGACCTCAGCATGTGACCTTATTTGGAAGTAAGGTTGTTGCAGATGTAATTAGTTGAGGTCATTAGGGTGGGCCCTAATCCAATATGACCAGTGTCCTTATAAAAAGGGGAAATTTGGTCACAGAGACGTGCACAGAGGAAAGACAGCCATCCCAAAGCCAAGGGGAGGCACCTGGAACAGATCCTCCCACCAGCCTCTGAAGGAGGCTGCCGACACCTTGATTTCAGACCTCTGGGCTCCAGAACAGGGAGAGAATAAATTTCCATTGTTCAAGCCGCCGGTCTGCGGTGTTTTGTTACAACAGACACAGGAATTCCTCAGACATCACAGCAAAAGCCCCTGCGTGGTCTAGAGGGTGAAGGAGGCGGCCTCACTTTCACCGTGTTGCTGAGCAAGGACCTGGTTGCTTTATTACGACAGCGTCAGCTTTATTCAGCCCTGTTTCTCAGGCCTCTCTTCGCTCTCCATCACCCACCTGACTCACACCTGGGACCACCATTCCAGGAGGCCAGGTAGAGGCGAGAGTGGCCTGCCGTCTGGTACTGCTCCTTCAGCACCAGTTCCCGTGGACCACTGGGTCCCGCTCTGACCCCTAGAGGTGCTGAGTATCTCAAACCCCTTGCTCTGGCCAGCACATCCCTGACCTCCAGGCCATCCTCCTCTCCAAGGCTCTCGGGCCCACGTGGGTGAAACATTTCCTTAACATACTCAAAGGCTAACCGTTTGACCCAGGAGGCCTGGCTTTCTAGGACATGTTTTTACACAGAACAATTGTCTGGACACTTGTCCTTCAGAGGCCTGCCTGGACCAATCGGGCAGTGAGAACATCTTCTGAGCCCCTTCTGACCATGAGAAGCGGGCTGAGGGGCTGAATCCTAGAACATGCCCTACACGGCTGCCTGTGTCATTGCAGCTGGTGCCTGACTGCCTGCACGTGCCAGTGGGGGAAGGAGGGCTGGTGGGAGAGGGTGGAGCCTGGCGACTGATCTGGGGACACTTCACGGAGTAGGGACAACTCTGTAGCCTTTTAAAGATGGGAAATGATAGAGCTGATCGTGGGAAGTGATTTCCACTGTGAACAAGGCCAGACATGACCAACGTTTTGAGGTGGGAGCCGGCAAACCCAGTGTGGAGGACCCGAAGTGAAACTGACCCCCTAAAACCAGGTTCCTATGCTGAGTTGATGATTCCAACACCTGTTCCCCTCGAGATTGGGGAGTGTCAAAGAAAAAGGGGGATCGAAACCGAACAGGGCCCTCCCAAGTACAAAAGCCTTTCTGTGTCCCCTGTTGCTTGTTTGTAGGAAAAAAGCTTCAGTCTCCTTGACCTTCCCTGCGTTCCAAAGGTCAGATTCAAACAATTACTAATCAGGGAAGGGAGGGAATGCAGAAATGGGGGAGGAGCCGCCAAGAAGCAGTAATGCAGCCATAAAGCAGGGTCCTTAGCGACATACTCCGAGCTCTTCTACAGGAACTAAAGCCCCCACCCCAGTGGAGGATGGTAACTTCAGGCTGAGCACAAGCAGGGGACCCCAGACTGGTTGGAACCGGAAGGCTGATGATGAGATTCCTGGAGCACCGCCCTGTTACCTCCCAGCAACCAGTCAGAGGAAGGTCACACACCTGCAGCCTGTCTCCCAAATTTTGCCCATAAACGCTCTTCCCTGAAGACCAGCATAGAGTTCAGGCTTTCTGAGCGCGAGCCGACCGTTCTCCTTGCTCAGCCCCTTTCTGCTCTCCAAACGCGGACGTGCTGGTTGGTCTGGCCTCACGGCGTCAGGCACGTGAACTGGACAGCGCAGGGCTTAGGTGAGGGCTGGGGCAGAGGACACTAGTGGACCTATTCTCGACTCCAAGGTAAGAAGGGAACCCAGATAACGAGTGCTCTATCGCAGGGCTGCTGTGGGCGTCATTGTGTCCCCCCATTCAAGTCCTAACCCCTGGCACCTGTGAATGTGACCTTATTTGGAAATTGAGTCATTGCAGATATAATCAAGTTAAGATGAAGACATACGTTTTTTGTTTGTTTGTTTGTCCGTGCCATGCCGAGTGGCTTGCAGGATCTCAGTTCCCCGACCAGGGGTTGAACCCAGGCCCCAGCAGCGAAAGCACCAAGTCCTAACCACTGGACCGCCAGGGAACTCCCGAGATGAAGATATACTTGATTAAGGTGGATAAGGGCCCTAAACCAATAGGACTTGGGTCCTTATAAGAAGAGAAGACACACAGACACAGACAGACAGCACCCTGTGGAGACCGAGACTGTCTCGGGACAGACTCTCCCTCAGAGCCTCCGGAAGGAACCAACCCTTCTGACGCCTTGATTCTGGACTTTTGGCCTCCAGACCTGGGAGAGAATAATTTCTGTTGTTTTGAACCACCCTGTGCGGTCATTTGTTACTGCAGCCCCAGAACACGAATACAAGGGCCTACAGTGTGCAGGGCTTCACGTATGTCTCCATCGGATGGGAACAGCCGGGACGTGGGAGGCGGCTGCATTTTCCGGAAACATGGTCCTAGTGAGCCACAGGGGGAGCACCTGAACCCTGGCCACCCGAATGCTCAGAGGACCCGCCGGGCGGGGGAGGAGACTACCCCTCTCCCTCCAGGATGTTTAACCCACTCGACTGTCTCCTGCTCCGGAAAATCTTCCTCCCCTGCTTCCTGGCCCAGGCAGGGCCAGCCCTGTGCCTTCCACACACTGCCCGTCGCACCCTCCAGCCTCTGGCGGGCAGAGGGGTGGAGCTGGATGCCAGAGGGAAGGCTGTACCCACCATCTGAGGTTGGAAAACCTTCTTCCACAGGCAGGACAGCAGGATGTCTGGCCCCAGACACTTGCTCCCCGATACGGGTCACCCCAGGGCTACGCCAAGCCTATGGCTTTCCAGAGGGCAGAGCCCTGGGTTTGCCCAGCAGAGGTCTGAGCCAGACCAAGCTACAGCATCATTTTAAAGGCACAGAGGATTCTGGTTGTCACGAGAACTTGAAACCCTGTCCACGGTTCTGGAACACTCCTGGCTACCGGGTCTGGGAAGCCACTAGATGGCAGTAGAGACCGGGCCTGGCCCCAGTCTAGCCGAGTGGGGCTGGAGGGGAGGAGGGAATCCAGAGGAGCCCGGGAAGGGGGGCATTTGAGTCACCTGTGTCAGTGAGGGACCCAGGAGGGGAGACCGAATTGTCAACATGTGTGGAGTATGGGCTGGGAGCCCCATGGTTAGACCCACAGGAGCTTTCTGCTTGGAAGGACGTCCCTTGGGGAGTCCACCTGGGCCCTCCATTTTTTAATTAAAAAAAAATTTTTTTTGGCCACACCACGTGGCATGCAGGATCTTAGTTCCCCAGCCAGGGATCGAACCCCTGCTCCCTGCATTGGAAGCGTGGAGTCTTAACCACTGGACGGCCAGGGAAGTCCCTGCACCCTGCATTTTGAAGCAGGCTGCTTTCCAGAGCCCCAGGACTTCCTCACGGGGCTTCCAGGGCCAGAGACTGATGGCCAGACGGTGTCCACCTGTTTGTCAGGCCAGGGAGATCCAGGGAGATGGGGGGGCACAGCAGAGGCCGCTGGGAGAACACGGGCCTGGGGGAGAAGCCGGGTGCCAGTACCTGCCCGCTGGTGACCCCAGCCGGGTTACTTAACCTCTCCTCACCTGTGAATTGAGGGTATGGACAGTATCTACCTGGTAGGGTTACATGAGACGGTGCCTGCCACCCAATCCAGCCCAGAGTACACGCCATCACCAGCATCACCAGCTCTGTCATCCTCGTTGTTCTTAATGGTATGTGGTGACCTTAGAAAGGTGGGGCAAGTGTAAAACAGACAAAACAAACCAGACGTGACTCTTTCACGTGCGTGGACAGTCTGGACACGAGAAGCCCAGCTCTGAATGGCATCGTGGTCCACCCAGCCTCCTCTTAGACATCTTCCCAGGGTGACCCATTCCCATGGGTCACTTGGGGCGTCTGCAGGTGTATCCAGGCTCCCCGCTGACCGTCAAGGGGCGCCCTATTTGACATGTTCCTATTGGGCGGGGCCTCTATCTGCCATTATCTGTGATGGTCAAAGGCGGTAAAGGAGTTGTGTCCTGGAGGGACCCCCAGGTCAAAGCCAAGGGAGCAAGCCCCAAACTGGACGTCAGTCTCAGGGCCAGGCTGAGAGTCGGAGCCACTGTGTGGAGTCTAATGAGAGAGGATTGAGGTGGGGCGGAAGGTCTGAGAGGCCACATGCGTGGAGGCTGGCAGGGGAGAAACTCCAGAGAGAAAGCAGGGGCGTGGCAGCCTTTCAGGTCCTTCTGCAGCACGTTTGGTTAATGATGCTGGGCAGTGCCGAGTGGGCAGCGTGCAGACTGCATCGCCCTTGCAGGCTCATGGGGGTATTTGTTTGGTTCTCTGGAGGGATGTGGGGGACGCTTAGGGGTTAGAACAGGAGCCTGTGTGTCCCCGTCATGAGCCCCTCTATGCAGAGTGTTCACTCTCAGTAAACACTGAAAGAAAGTGTCAGTAAGTGAACTTCTCCTGGTCACTTTGAGCATCATGTCCTTTATTCACTTCATGTACATCAGACAGGATCCTTCTGGATCAGTTAGTTCATCCAGATCTTTGGGAACCGCTGGAGAAGCATCAATTACCGTTGGCCAGCAAGCCTGGCCACGTTCCGTGTCCCTGAGCCAAAATCACAACCATCCTGTAAGATGCTTCACAGGCTCTTTGGACCTGGCGTTGACAGTGATGAAAAGGCACCAGGGAAGCTTAATGAAGACGTTCTTAGTTCTTCAAAAAATAAAAACGACAGTAATAGCTAACATCTGTGGAGTGCGTACGATGAACCAAGTATTTTGCATGCATTACCTAATTTAATGTGAAATGACCCTCTGAGATAGGAAATAAAATAATTCCTGTCTTACAGATGAGGAAACCGAGGCTCAGAGACCTACGCGTTGTCACCAGTCCAGAAAGTCTTGAAGCCAGGGTTCAAGGCAGGCCCTGGCTCTGGTGAGCCCACTCTGCAAGAGAGATGCTCAGCATGTGTGCAAAACTCAACGTCGGGACGAGAG